GCAGAGGGAGAGGGGGGAGCACGGTGAGGGGGGCACACAGACACACTGACCCCCCAGGACAGGACCGGACACCCTGCAGACACACTGACCCCCCAGGACAGGACCGGACACCCTGGAGACACACTGACCCACCCAGGACAGGACTGGACATCCTGCAGACACACTGACCCCCCCCAGGACAGGACTGGACACCCTGCAGACACACTGACCCCCCCAGGACAGGACAGGAGGGGGAGCAGAGCAGTACACTGGCTAAAAACAGCCTCGAGGTGCCTGAGTGAAGAAAGAGCGCCCCCTGCAGGCTGAGAGACAGGCGGACAGGCCCTCTTCCAACAGAGGGACAGAATGAAATGTGTTTCCACTTCGCGAACAGCCTCTCCAGGGGTCAGGACGGACCTCCTGGGTGTTCAGGTGGAAAAGACAGCTTCGTCACCGGCAGGGACCCCCCAGGTGCCCAGCCACTGCAGAGAGGGGGCTGTGTGTCCAGAGGAACAGGCGGCACTTCGCTGGGAACGCCTCTGTGCCGACCAGCCCAGCAGGAGCCCCGTCCCCTCGCGCTGCTCTGTCATGCGAGCAACCCCCCCCAACACCGCGGCTCCGTCTGCCTCCCCTCGTCCGCTGCACACGCCTGGGAGCTCCCCTGGGCCCCCGGAGACGGGCCGGGCCGCGGCTTCGTCTGCTGGGGAGCAGCAGAGTCACACCGGCACACCTGCTTCTGCAGGGAACAGACCTCCACCTGCGCGCCTGGACTGCTGCAGTGAAACTCCACGACTCGGCACCGGCGCGCCAGTCCGTTTACACGCCCTGCCCAAAGCTGCTGCAAGGCTAACGCCAATGGGCCGGGCCGGGCCGGGCCGGGAGAGCCACCAGCTCCAGAGAGCTCACCCGCCCCTGGTCCTGAGCGGGTCGACACCCCCCAGCCCTCGCACCTGCGCCGCCGAGCACAGACCGCCCCGGAGCCAGAACCGGCAAGCCCAGTGAGAGCTGGGACACCGGGGCGCAGGCAGCCTGGCATCGAACCGACGCCGAACACACGTCACTGGGAACATACAAAGAACTGCTGAAGTTCTGACCCCACAAGATAAAAAAAAACAAAAAAAAAAACACCCGCTTTATCGTTCTCGGATAGAAAGTTCCAAAACTTAAGGAATCCAGAGTGGAGTCCAGGGAGTCTCCCCGCTCGGATCCCAGGTTTAAGGGGCCGGACCACACGGGTCAGTCAGGAGACCGCAGCCGCATCTCCTGCAGGACTGACCCAGTGTCCCTCTCCGTGCTGGTTCGGTTCGGGTGATGACCCCCGCTCCGACTGCGCTCGTCCGGTTCTGCCGTCGTCGATCCGCCGGGGGTGTTCAAAGCCAATACCTCCTTGGGAGACTGAACTACAACTGAGCCCGAACCGCAGAACTGGTCCACATTATCGCCAGCCTCCAATAAAGCCCTGGGAAAGGACTCGGCAGGGCCCAGAGGTGCTGGGGCACATGAACCCACAGCACCGCCCTGGCGGCGCCGACTGAGCGGAACACCCCGGAGATCTGCCTGCGTCAGAACCGAGCCCGCACGCGCAGCGCGTTAAACAGCGACGGGCGACATCGCACCCCGGCGACACCACAGCAGGGTTCGGGTGTCAGTCGGACACGCAGGGGTCCAGACTCGGGGGGTGGGGAAGAGTTGGGAGCGCTCGGGTCCCCCCCCCCGCGCGCGGCGGTGATGCAACAACACCGGACTCCCCACGAGGACGAACCCGAGACGCGCACACCGGACACCCGGCCCCGGGACTGGCGCAGCCGGGCTGGTGCCGGCCGGTGGTTCTGATCGTGCTGTCTGCCCGCACTGCCCCGTCTGCGACACGCTTACCCTTCCGCTGGGAGCTGTGCGCCTCGGGAAGGCCGTTCTTGCACGGCATCCAGATCTTTTTCAGCGGGTTCTGGGTGAGCTCCCGCGGGGACGCCATGGCTGCTGGGGGGGGTTGGTCCGTGCCGACGGGTCACCGGGATCAACCTGCTGCCCAGCGCCGGTCCGCTGCCTCTTTATAAGCGACGGGCTGCACACTGGCCGGAGCGGCGCGCGGCGCAGCGCTGCACTGCGAGCGGAGCCTGTCACGTGGCCGGGGGGGGCAGCGGAGGCTCGACCGTAATCCTCCGAAACACCGCGCACGGCTGTTCGGCGTCGGGATCTCCTTCACCGGCAGCTACGAACTAGACAACCGCGTCGTGCAAACTGCGTCACTTTACTGCTTTATTGTGGTCGAAGGTTTGCACCTTGTACCTCACTGTAGGTTCCCAGATCGTCACTATGTCACCGTCAATGTCACTGTCAATGTCCTCGATAACTATCGGCCAAGCGGGTGAGTGAAATACCGAGCAGGGATTCCTGTCCTGGGGAAACAAACGGTTCTCAGGGGCTTTGTTTCCTTATACAGAGTGCGCCAGTAGGAAACCTTCAGACTGAGATTTTACATTCCGCCTTTGCTTCAGTGTAAGTTAAAGGCCTGCATCAATGAAAGAAAACATTACTAATGCTCCAGAGAAAAGCCACCGATTTTACTCTCACTTCTGCATTTCATGGAAAACATAAAAAAAACAATAAACTGCCCGTTTTCAGGCACCAAGTTTCAAAGCATCTTTTCAGTCAGGAAAGCTGCAAGAGTTCGTGTTTAGGACGCTGCGACCGGGCAGCCACAAGGAGGCCCAGCTGTTACTGCTGTTTAATGTTTAAAAACAGCAGCTGTCGTTTCACCTCTGTCGGTACTTAAAGGGAACTGGGAACGTTAGATTCGTGATGGAGATTATTATACACCAGCCGACGCGTTAATTTTGTGACGAAGCTAAAATATTCCTGTGGGACCTGCACACAGACCCCACCGCCCAGCTCTGCGCCCGCAGAAACAAACAGGTTTCCCCAGCAGGAATCAGACGCTTGCGGGGCTGTTTCTGACCATGTCTGCGCTACCGTAAACACACACGAGGAGCTCTCGAACCCTGCAGCGGCGAGGCGGCGCTTGCAGGGTTAACAGGGTCTGGGCAAAACGGAGGAAAACAGGGAAGTCTCAACCCAACCCGGCGTTACGTTAGAAAAAAAAAACTGCTTTGGTTTCAGGAAAAACAAATCGCCTCCTCTCAAGCGTCTCACATGAGACCCACATGGGCCGAGGATGCTGCCCCCGTCGTGGCCAATCGCAGCGAGGAGCGGGCGGGCGGCCGGCCAATGGGAGGGCGCGGCGGGGCGCGGGGGAGGGGCCAGGGAGGCGTGCGCAGGGCCCGGGCTCGAGCGGAGCTGCAGCGTGCACAGCGACCAGGCCGGAGTGCACAGGAGTCCAACAGCAACCCCTCCACCCTCACCCCTCCAGCGTGGATACAGAGTAACAGCCGGCTACCGCAGCCCCGCGCCTCTCCCGTGTCCCTGTCACTCACACCGCCCCCCCCCCCACAGAGACCCCCGGGACCGGGGGGTGCCCGTGCAGGACTGGGGACCCCGGGACCCCACCCGGGCGCTGCGCTCACCGACCTCGCAGAATCTGCACTAAAAAGGGAGAAGCGTTCAGACCGCTGTTGAAACCTGACTTCCGGTCTCTGATCTGTTTTTCTGGCTGATCAGTGTAAATCAACATCGCCTCCGCTGCCCCAGAGCGCGGCCCCAGGCCTGTCCACTCTGGCCTTGCGCTCTGCCGGGGTTCACTGGACCGGACTGCCGCTGGGCGTGAACAGAGCGCGCCCCCCCCCCGACACCTTCACGCACACAGACACTGGACACGGCGGCCGCGTCCGGTCTCGCCCGCTTGACCACCGGCCCTGCAGGCGCTCGAGCCGAGCGGGGCTCCCCACTTTCCGACATCCCCACAGACTGGGGCTCATTCCTCCCGACTGGGACACCCCGGTTTTTCCACACTTCGGGCCGCTCTCTGGGGAGCTCAGCAACTCGCGTTGCCCAGGACGAGGGAGAGGGAGCCCCACCCCACGCCGAGGCGCTCCGTGTGGTTCACGGTCAAATGGTCTTTCAACACGTTCAGTCGCCGAGCTGTTTTTGTGAACCGCGGCGGCAGGAATGTTGTCAAACTGCAGGTGTTGTCAAACGTCGCCCCTCCCTGCCCCAGCGGCACAGTACTGCCACCTTGTGGCTGCTATGCTGCCGCTGCCGCAGGCGCCTCTGCCCCCACTGTTCTCCGGGGGGGCAGCTGTTCTCACGCCGCCTCCACGGCCGTGTCTCTGCTGCGCCGACAGGACGTCAAGCTGTCAGCTGCCAGCGTGGCGCGACCGCGAGGCTCGTGGAGGACAGGAGCGAGCCAAACCCGAAACCAATCTTTCAGATCCACCCGGCTGGAATCCCAGAACCGCCCCGGGAGTCCGGCTGGACGAGCTGAGCTGCAGCTTCCAGTCGGTCTGAGGGCGTCGGGCAGACCCGCCAGCCCGCACAGCGCCACCCATCGGGTTTCAATGCAGCTGCACGTCACCTACCTGCCAAGGTCATAATACCCGACGCACAGTCGGAGACAACGTGCTCGCTGGCTCGCCGTGTGAACCAGAGGACATCCCGCCAGCTTTAGAAATGCACACATTGATCAGGGCCGCCAGACACCCCGGACTGATACCGGAACCCCTCCACACGGTACTGATACAATCGATACTGTAACTGAGCTCACATGCACTTCCACGTCCCAACACTAGAGGGAGGCATCTCCCTGCGCTGCCGGGCTCGCTCAGGCCGCCGAGGCAGCTGTCGCGGACAGCAGGGTCAGCAATCCTGTAATTTGCTGCAGACGCAGCAGAAGATGTTCGGATAACAGGAACCCGCTTATAA